TGTCAAACGGCATCGCAAGTAAACGGTTATGACTGAGGTCCTTTAAACCAGATGGTTTGACTCCAAATTACACCACTAAATTACGGTCTTGGTCAGAGCCCATAAGTTCCCCAATGGCTCTAAATACTTGAGATATGAGATATGAATCAATATGATATTATCGATAGAGTACAAAGCCTTCTGTCAGTTAAGGTGGATCTAAATTTATCCACTTAGACAAATATTTACCCCATATTTACGAGGTACCATTGGACTACGCAACTCATGGCTACTAACAAGGATTCTACTGTCAGGTTGGGTCGATTACCTCCTCTGGCTAAGTAGTACAGGAACCACGATGGCCCGAGATGACAGAACAATGGGATCTTGATCGGGTACATCATTCATTCCCTCACCATTCGCTTTAAGTGCAAGGTGGTAAATTTCCATTTTTAAATATTAAACTCTCAAATACCAACTTATGTTCCTACTATATGCTAGATAACATATATCTTTACTTATCTGATTGACAACTAGCCTTAATCAAAAGTTTTCTCTCGTTATCGGGAGGGGTAATTAATTATAGGAGTTTGCAGAACTCAGATCTAAAGTCCTCCCCAATATGCATTATGAAAATTTACCTCGTCTCTCCCTAAAGTAGAGGGGGAGGCCGGGGCACGAATTTTTGAAGCTCTCATGCAAGTAAATGCAAACTCTATCATTTGAAAAAAATTCGATAATCTAAATTCGGCCAAAGAAGTTTTATCCTGTTCTTATGGTGAAACCAGAGCAAATCTTCCTAGGGACTTGACTTCAGAATAGACATAACCAGCTTTCGTCAGAGAATGTGGTCAATTGTCTGTCCTGATGGGAGGTCATTTTTAAAGAGATTTTGATGATTCAAACGTATATAACGTAAGGTTAGAAAATATAACGATAAGACAGGTAGATAAAATAAGTTAGAAGAATAAATATAAGTAGGTCAAAGGTAATGAATATTTGTAAAGCTGTTTTCAAATAGTTAGGATAAAATCATTGATGATGATGATGATATGAATGCCAAGTAAAATTATGCTATGGATTCTCTTATTCCTGAATATCATCATTGATCAGAAGCCGATGTGTTTTCTAACTTGCTGATCTTTCTGTCTCGCTGCAGGGCTTTGTTAACGTTAGTGATAGTTTTGTTGCTGTATATTATCATCGCTGCTTGTTGCGGAGGCATCACTCTTCCATCTTGCAGATCTTAGAAATCTCTCGGGACTTTATTAAGTCTGTCCTCATTCTCTTCAAGCCATGCATGTCTTTGCTGTGTTTCTTTAACTAATTTTGTCAATGATATTCTTCACAAATTTGACAGATTTATCTCTACCGCACGGGAGTTCTTCAGTACTACGAAAAGCATGGGCTGAACCTGTAATATCAGAGCTCAAAATTTGAGAGCTTTCTTGTATAGTTTCTGTAAACTGTTCCTTCATTAGCTTTCTCCTGCTTGTGAGATTATTTACAAAATTTGTTTAACTAATGATTGCTATTTTTTGTATAACTGCCTTGTTATATCTGTTTTTCTTAACAAATCGCCAAAATTTAAATTTACCATATGCTAAAATGTGTGTGTGAGTTTGTGAGTGAGAGAGAGAGAGAGAGAGCTCATGCCTGGGCATGACTTGCAACTCTGCATTTAGTGTCACATGATTTGTTTAATAAATAAAGAATTTAGAAGCATATTTATTGAGCTTTATGTAGCTTATGTTATAGTGGAGTTTGTTTAATTACTAAGAACTTTATTTGTTGGGGATAAGTACTTTTATATGGTACATCTAGTCTAGTAGGTGTTCATGGTGGTGGGTTTAGAGTCTAATGTTGAGGGTCCATTCAAGATTGTATCTTGGTCAAGTTGATGAGATCTAATATTGTCAACTCAAACTTTGGTGAATGTTGAGTCGGCTCTTTAGGGGTGTCAAAAGTTGACAGGACTTGAAATCCAGAAAAATTCAGGTTCGGGTCAACTCGTTTGTAAAATGGGGCTGGTCCGGGTTTGGATTTTTTATCCGTATGAAAAATGGGTTGGGTTCGGGTTGACCCGGAAAATTCGCGGGTTGACCTTGCTAACTCGCATCGTGACCCTCGTCTCTGCCTAGCATTGTCGACACGGACCGCATGTCCGCACCTGCGGCCTCACTGGACACCGACTGCATTTGCACAACCCACGTGAGTGTGATTGCGCCCCAGCCTCCTTGGACAGGACTTGTCTCCGCCAGGCCCAGGCGCCAGACAGAGCATATCTATTTGAGGATTTCAGTGGAAGCTGAGTAGTTTTGAGTGAATAAAGGTTGAAGCTGCCACAATGACTTCAAAAGAAAATTTGTTTGAGAAGGAGGCTTTCATGGTAAGGGTGGCTATCGAGTTAGAGTGAGTTCGATCACAAATCAAGTATATTCAGGCAACTTCCAATGCTATAAGTGGACAAAGGACCAGTCTTTCTTGGGTGAGGCATAAAAGCTTCATTTAGGACAATTTTTTTATTGCTTTGTTTTTTTTATTATAATCATAGTTTTTATTGTAAAAATAGGATTTAATTGACGAGTTAACATAAGTCGCCCTTATATTAATTTTTTTTTAAAGAAAATGCACGACATTGCTAATTAGGAATGAATTAACAACTTAATGCAAGTCGCCTACATTTAAAATTTAAAAAAAATAACATGACATCCCTAATTTGAGCATTGGATTGTAAAATAAGAAATAGCTATTTTTTCACATTGGGCTTGTTGTGTGATAGAAAAATCCCCTTCAAACTTGAGGGAAAATTTTATAAGATGATGGTGAGACCTGCTATGCTTTATGGTGCATTAAAAGTGAAGCGTAATGTTAAGTGTTGCAGAGATGAGGATGCTCAGGTGGATGAGTGGCTTTACCCTTAAAGACATAATATAAAATGAGCATATATGTGAAATGGTTAGCATAGTTCCTTTTAATTTGATGTAAGAATTTTAAACTTATATCTTGAAATTAAATTTGAAATAGCTTATTTATTTTGAATTAAAATTTTCAAATAATATAAATTTCCGTATTCAATATTTTTTAAAATGAAGATTAAATAAATTAAATGTATACATATTAAATTGAATATAAGTATTGATTTTTTCAATATTTAATTAAATTAGAAGTATCTGATTTACTTTATTTTCAACATTTGATTTTTTCAAAATAATAGTATAAATTATCTAGTTTGTTTTTTTTTTGTGTAATATTATTTCCTTCGATTTGAAAAAGTATAAAAAAATTAAATATAAGAAAAAGAATAAATTTTACGAGGAAGCAACATTCCAATAACAATAATAACATTATATTGAAAACCACATTCACCCAGATACGAACATACATATATGTAAAACTTAATATCTTAAACAATAGCAAACACAAACCACATTCAAACTGCTTAACTAACACACTTAAGAAAGTTCTAAAAAAAAAAGTCGTCATCGATTCTTGATCACGATGTGCATGCAAGCTTGATGTTGAGATTGAGTTGGGCAGCAATTGAATTTTTGCTAAAAACCAATATTGGACACATTATTAGTCTGATGCATTGAGAAACTCCTTCCCCTTTTTACCTATCATAAAAATGAGATTCCCATATGTCCTAATGAGGAATGCATCAACCACATGATGTCATTTACGATAAAGAATATAATGATCTATATTAAACATTGGGTTGTCCACAATCACCTTAAATAACTCATCTTTATGACGTCCAATTTTTGTATATCTTGCCTTCATAATATTAATCGGTGATATATGTCTTATTTTTTCCATAAACCTCCATTGTTGAAATCTCCAACCCGCCTCATTCAAATCAGTTCCATCCTTGTAAGAGGGAATTGTCATAACTTCGTCATGTGTGTCCCATAATATACAGTCTTCCATGTCTGACCAGGAATGCATACAACATTGATAAATGTCATTCGATCTGGTCATCTCCTCTGACCCATCATCAGTGGAATGCATTAAACATTCCTTCAATCGACTGCTACCATCCACAACCAACTTCTTCAAAGAAATTTTTGGTGTCCTATGCATTGCATAAAAAGAAATAACAATCACAAGAAGATTTGCAGAGCAATTGAAGAATGCAGGATACAAGCTACATGCATCCAAACAAGTAAAATATACTCAATTTATAGGAGAAGTTCATCATATTACATGATCAATTATTAGTTGTTAAAAAAATAAATGAACAGTCTGATTTGGCATTACTGTCAGATTTAACAATACGAACTAATTAGACAATACAAACTGATTTGATAATACATCATAATTTGACAACACAAATGTATGTGATAATATATAGCAACATTACATTGGCAATTTCTTGAACGTGATAACACATACTGATTTGATAGTAAATGTTGATTTGACAACACAATCTTTTTCACTATGATTTTTTAATATGAAATTGTAATTTTTGTTGGCATATTGGTTATGAGTTAAGATATTTTGTAATATAAGTGTTCAATCAGATTCACAATAATATATAAACCTTTTGTCAAATTATTTGATACTGTCAAATCAATTTTGTAGGCTTGTATTGTAATCTCATTATGATCCTACTAAGTTTGTCTCATTAATCATTGATAGAAGTTCACATTGTAGCATGTCATCATATCAGCTGAACTGTATAGATGAAAAGCCCCATCAAATAACATTTTAATTATAAGCAGCATGTGAAGGTGGGATTTGTACATATCAGTTCATTGTGCATTGACATTTCATATAGCTTACAATAGCCTATCCCATCAGATGACCTATAAAGTTGTAAGGTCTATTCAAGTTCTATTATGTTTTATGGCTTCAAGTTAAGGTTGGATATCTTTACTCTCTGCTATCCTCCACTATCACTTAGCCATGAACATCATCAAACTCAACTTTCTGGTCCCATTATTCCGTTGTCCTACAGGTTTCAACATAATTATTATTTGCCACCATTGCATCCTTAGTGGCAATAAATCTGGAGCATAAATATTAAATGATATTTCGAGTATCTTCATTACCAATTGCAACTCCATTATTAACCATTGGTGAAAGATCATCACCATCATCATCAGAGCACTGCTCGTTATAACCACCACTCATAGTCTCATAATCATCATGATCAAAAGGGATTGATTGTGTAAAAAGGATTGAAAGTTCCTGCGTCTGTTGATTCTCTATATCACTACATTGAAAATATTATTCTTATTTATTTTTCAATAAGAAAATATTATGTTGGACATTAATTACTAATATGCGATATAAGGAACTCACTAGTCATAAGGTTCTTGTATTGGTTCAAGCCTTAAAGGACCAGCGAGCACATAAACCCTCTCACCTTGGGTTGAAGTTTCATATATTTGTGAATTTGGAGACTCAGTATTATCTCTAGTTAAACTAAGATCTTCGACTTTAACGTACATGACAAGAAATTTTGTTGTAGCTTTGCATAATAAAACTTCACAAACCTCATTATCCTCAACATGTGAAGCGACAAAGTCATTTCCCACAGGCACTCGACATACTAAATTCATAGAAAACTTTGAAGCATCGTATTTCAGGACTTTGAGAACCCTTAACTTAAATTGCTCTAAGTTGATATTTCTTGGCCTTTGCAGGGGACAATTCCTACTCCCATAATGACAAAAATGGCATCCACTTGTAATTCACCTGCATATATTAGAATGAACATTGCAGCACGTCCACTCATTATTGAAATTACATGTTTCAATATGCAAGATCAACGGATCGCATATAATTAATATATGTTAATTATTAATTCACATGACCATAATTCAACTCGTTAAACAATATCATAATTACAATGCCTACTATTTTTATGAGAAAAAATTTACAAATTAACAAAAAATTTCTCTTAATTCAATATAAAAGTTAACCTCTTAAAATTAAATATAACTTGATAATATCAATAATTAACTTCAAATTAACACATTATATAAAAATAACTTCAAATAAAAAAAAACATCAAAATCATCACCACAAAAAAAAAAATATTAACTAATTCTTAAGAAGCCCTCAACATTAGGACTCTGCAAAACCACCACCAAGAACGACCCAACTAAAGCGTAATGTTACATCTTCACCAATAAACTGGATGTACCAGATAAAAGTACTTATCCCCAACAAAAAAAGTTCTTCAGTAACTAAAAAAACGCCCCATATAACATTGGAGGGAGGCCACGACAGGATAAAGTCAAAATAGCATATGGTTCTTAGAATCTCTTTGACTTGTTCTAGTAATAATACACCAGAGTCCCAGTCAGCGGTTGAGCCGAATCATCGAAGCAAAAAATCGTCCCGACAGATTAGCAAGTGCCATGGCCACCAGAAGGGCGGGATACGGGAGAAGGCTTCCGTCTCACTCGTCTTC